AGTCATGCATATAAGCTTTTGCTGATGAAAAATAGGCACAACATGCAACTAACAGCACACACACAAAAACATCAAATGCATGTACGGTATACATAAACTTAAAATATGCACCAAAAAAATAAAAAGCATGCTTCATTATTGGTCATTATGAAATCTACAGGTGTTTTACACATCAGCTTTTCGCCTTCAAAAAACAACCTCACAAGTCTCCTGTTGGTTGCACGCAAGGTTTCCTGACATAAGGGTACAAAAACAAAAAAATCACATAACTAAACATCGATGCAGAAGCAAAGAAATATTATACATCCTTCCTAGTGAGGTGGGACTTTCCAAAAGGAATGCAATGCTCTAACAAATACGCTCAAAAACAGCCCATGCTGATCCAGTGCCAGCATCTCTGGTCACGTAATGTAAACATGACTACTTGGCAATTCATTGAGTTTTACTGCTGCAAACATTCTTCACTCTGACACCTAGAAGGTTTCTGAGGAGAAGGTGACAAACCCCAAAAGCCAATGATAAACAATAATACACCAAAAACACCACACAAAAAGCTTGAGGGGAAAGAAGAACGATATTTTCTGATTCGATTTGTGTTCAGATTCACAAGCTCTTGATTTGGTAATCGGTTCTGATTCGATGTAGATTCTGCTGTAACTTATACAGGGGTTTCAGACTGGATCCTACTGAATTACATTAGAAAAAGAACTGGCTCATAAGAGTCATTTGTTTCGGAAATCAAGCTACACTGATCATGCTGTATGTTTTTGATTCACTAAAAAGAACCAGATCATAAGTGTCATTGGTTTGTGAATTGGACTACACTGATTGGTCGCGTTGTATGCTTGTTTTTGCATGAAGACAACTCCTGCCATTGTTTTGTGTTAAACAGTTGTGTTTTTCATTGCATTAACACAGACTGCACATTCACAACTCGGGTATAATTTTTTTTTTGCCATGAAACAGGATTCAGGAGGTAACGTTGCTGCTGAAGGTGATGCAAGGACCATGGAATGGATACAAGGAACCATATGGTACATTACGAAAATATTAAACAACAATTTTTTACATAAAAATATGACAATAAAAATGACAAAAACTAAACTTTATTTTAGTATATTAAAAAAATTGTTTTCTATATATATATATATATATATATATATATATATATTTATTTATTTATTTTTTATTAACACCAAACAGATAAATATTACCAACAGGGTCCACACTGTGTAAATATTTATTGTGAGAGACTTCCTCAAAAGGACTACAAGACTCAATAATGGAATTGTTAAAGTCCCCGTGAACCAAAAGTTGCAACCGACTTTACTTCAGTGTTGTGATGTATTTCCAAGTGAAACAGAATATTAAATACAGGGCAGGGTTTCATTTTAGCGCACCTCGCTCATAGCAGACTGGCGATTGGAGGGGAGTGGTTAAGGATATTCTACCCAAGCTGTCAAACTGACATCATCGAAGGAACAGAACAGAAGGAACGTCAATCCAGGGCAGAAGCAAATTTTCAGATTTTGATTAAAGATTACCACGACAAACTATTATTTTTTCTGCTTAATAACTTGCACGGATTAATTGTTCACCACAAGACTAGTAATATGTGCTAACAATAGTTTTTATTTTATTTATTAAAATGACTTACCATCACGTACTCACTCATCCAAACCTGTATGACTTACTTTCTTCAGCGGAACACAGAATAAGATATTTTGAAGAATACTGTAACCAATCAGTTTTGGTGACCTTCCATTTTATGGTAAAAAAAACCCCCAGAAAAACAAAAAAACAGACATTTCTCAAAATATATTCTTGTATGTTCCACAGAAGAGAAAAAGTTTGGGATACAGGAGGTTTGGGATGAGATGAAGGTGAGTAAATGATGACAGAATTTCCATTTTTGAGTGAACTAGGCCTATCCCTTTAAGAAGATTCACAATAATTATATTCTATGCTATTTTATTTAATGTATCAAAACATTATGCGTCCAAATCTATGAAAACTACTTCATAATAAACATTACATTTAGTTCCTATTGTCACTTCATTCTCTACTCATCTTCTTCCACAATCTACAGCCTCACTGAAGTCCAGATATATATATATACACTCTGCCTCTGATCCTCCAACATTTAACAACCACAAAGCTTGTTCATAGTTTAATATCAATACAAAACATAAACATATTATCCGTTCATTGTGTTTTATGTAACAGACTCTTTCCCTTCGGCTGATTCTTTCATAAGCCTGCTGAGCATCCTGAATTGTCCAGCTGTACATCTGCGACACTCACAATGACATTAAAAAAACTATGCAGTCGCAGGAAGTGCTATCACCTCCCATCAAGTCTTCTGATATTCACACTACAACATCCTGTGCACAGCAAATGCCTTTGCTTTAAGCACAAATTAATAAAGTACATTTTTATGCTATTTACAGCATTTTATCTTTAGCCATGGAAACATTTACGTTTAAAGAATAAATGTTAAGCATTAATGTTTCTCTTTCATAACACTGTGGATTTTATTGAGCGTCTGATAATGGTGTATGTGACTGATCGGAAAGCATCCCTGTGACGTACAGGGAGTGAATCTAAAAAATAAAAAAAGGGAACGCATACTCCCCCAGGCACAGTCAGTGAAGTACTGCGGTCTTCTAAAGAATAAGAGACCCTTCAAACTTTAATGAGCCAAAAGACCTGAAGACCTTGAAATCCAAAAGATTTATCATAGTGTGACATAAAACGAGACATAGAACTTAACTTGTACATAATCTTACATAATCGTACCAACTCTTGCAAAACCATAAGCTAACTGTGTTACAAATTTCCTGCAAGTCACAATAAGTGTGCGTGTGTTTACAGCAAGATGGAAAAGGTGATGGCTTCCCTAAACCCTGAGAGGTTGGAGGTTTGTCCAAACATTGTGCATGCGTTGGGTACGCCTGATAGCAGCTGGTGGTCGCAGGCGTTCCCCTGACCTGGGGAAATATGAGAGCCATGCTGGTCGTGGATAACTCACAAAGGCACTATCAGTAACAGTCTGTGGCCCCAAAGGAAGCTCCTGTTTAAAAAAAAACGGTCAGCCTGACATTTTTGCGGGGATAGAAAATTCAAGAACAATTGAATCTGGGGGAGAGACCTGATGGTGCATATATTCATATATGTATAGACTCATATATTAGAGTCTTTAATGTGTTTAGTCCAGAATTTTTTTTGTAGGAGATTTTCATGTTTGCTACAAATCTGATCTGAGTTTTAACCTAATCCATAAAAGATGTGCTATTGTGTTAACTGGGGCTTTCACTTGATCCCCCAACCATATCCTCCCACACATTTTGACTAATGAATTTCCATGACTTTTCCATAATAAAATAATAATTTCATAGCTATTGCACTTGACATAAAGCAGAGATGAGCGCAACTATAAAGAAATTGCCTATGAAATTTCTGAATTTCTAGGCCTTTAAAATAACCTGATATTTTCAGCTTTCCCTTTCCACACCTATTGGCATGACTTTGTTTACTAATTAACTTCACATTTCACACCAAAGCTGTTTAGTTTTTGTATTGTTTCTTTTCTGTGTATCTTATCCTAAACAAATCTGAATAATAGTGTTGTCAAAAATATTGATATTTTGATATGTATCAACACTGAAATATTGAAAACGGTATCAGTATTCCTTTTCTGCAGCATCGAATTCACCGATTCCAGCTGCACGTTCTCACTCTTTCTTCCATCTAATGACACACACCCGCCTTTTCTCACTCACTTGTCTCATTCGCTCCAGTTGAATAGTGCTTGTATTGTGCATAATTTTAGTCATTCCCACAGGTTTCGCGCTCACACAAAAAGCACATGCACCACTGATCTGTATAAGTGGCGCGCACATAAAGCCGCCTCTCAAACAGCTCGCGAGAGCCAAATTGACTTCTTGTTCGTGGCTTATTGCACTTAAAGATGGCGTGAAAGACAACCCAGAAAGCCACGTCTCACAGCAGGTGAATACTGAATTAAGCTTTCACTTCTTCTTGTGCTTGAACGGACAATTTCACACAAAATTATGTCAAAATGTCTGTCTTGGCGGGCATCCTAGTAAACAGTCGGTTATGTCTAAAGTGAACGTAAACAGTAGAGAGAGAAAACGCATGTGTAACAGTATCAATTAAAGTAACAGCAGCCTAATACACCTGGCTGCTGTCTGCTGTCAAAAGACTCTTGACTGAATAACCTTTGTAACTTTAATAAGGATCCATCTATCTTTAATTTATACAGTGAAGACTATGCAGTTATTTTACATTTGGCTACTTTGTTCATTTTCTGTACCTAATCTATAGCTAACTACTGTTAGATCTATCTGTAAAAACCTGAAAATATAAAACCTGAAAAAATAATTGCGACTTTTTATCTCACAATTCGACGTTTCTTCTCATAATTGCGAGTTTACATGGAGATATAAATAGCAATTGAGAGTTATAAAGTCAGAATTGCATGATTGCATTAAAGTCTTAAAGAGATATAAAGTGTTTATAAGATAACAAATTATATGTATGGAGCTATATATGGTTTTCCTCATATTGATTTTTTTTAAAGGTATCGAAGGTGGAAAATCCAGTATTGTGACAACAATACTGTAAAATAGAAGGATTATAAGTTTTTTTTTTTTTTTTGCATGTTAATGGTGCGCATCTGGTTACCTGCAGCGGTTTTGTGCCTGGTCATGTGACATGAGTTAGGCATAAATCTGATTGGTCGGTTAATATGGCAAGCCCAGAGCCGTTAACTGGCCAAGCCCAGCAGCAGGCTCTACCTTTTGGAAATTGTAGAATAAAAACCGCCGTATCTAGATATTTGACATCTTTGTCATTAAAGATATTTCTCAAATCTCTCATTTGTATTGCATCAAACTTTTTTTAATTAGCACAAAATTACTGAGCGCACCTTTACGTGTCAGGCATCACAGTTCTCCTCTAATGACAGCTCTACTTACTTTCGTCCTTCCATTGATCCTGTAGTTGTCCAGTTTCCCGTTACAGTGTCGGATCAGATCGTCCATGCGGCTCATGAGAAACGCTATCCTCTCACAGCCGGCCTCCTTCCCCTCCACCCAGGTGATCTTATCCCCCCGAATGTCCTTAGACGAGTCGCTTCTCTGACTGACCAGCTGTCCGTCCGTAAATCCGCCGGTCAGGTAAAGCGCCTGCACGTCCTCCAGAACACAGTGTCCGACCTCGTCACCTAGGAAGTTGTCAACCACACAGATCCCGTGCTTGTTCATGCAGGGCACGATATAGTCCGTGGCCAGTTTCTGAGGGGGCGACCGCGTCTGTCCGTTGGGTTTCGAGCAGTCCGCGGTCGGCTTGCTGTCAGAGCCTGTGGCGGACGTGATAAAATCTGACATTCTTTCGCCGGGTGACGTAAGAGTAGAGTCACTCTGAGAAGAGTTCGACTGTTCTGAAGTGTTGCTCTGTTCGGCGCTGGGCTCTTCAGCCGGCGGCGGCGGCTGCTGCTGCTTCTCGGCCTCCTTGCACACCCGCTTGTGCTTCTTCCAGTCCTGTCTCTGGTGCTCTTTGCTGCAGTAGAAGGAGCTACGACACCGTCCGCACTTCATTAGGTTCTCCATTTTCCCGCACAGCTCGCAGTACTGTCGCTCTCGCTCCAGACTGTCGCTTTCCCTTGAGTTTCCCTCCATGTTTCAGCGCTGTGCTGTATTCCTGTATTACAGTCTCAGCCTGCAACTTCACTACAAGTATCCACAAGCGAAATTGTCCCTGCGCCCCCGCTGCCAATTTCATTCCAGTTGACGGAGGGCAACGTGACGCTCTCACATTCCCGCGACATCTATGGTTTGACACTTGTGAAGTCTCAGCGCGAGCCGTGAGTTTGATGGAAGCGCATGGCGCCTGCTGTTCCTTTTCTTCAGCGCTCAGCGCACGTCAACCATGTGAGCATGCGCACTAGAGGCAGGATAGACAACACTGTGGGCATGATTCACATGTGCTTCTCACAATTTCATTTGGGCAGAATGAAAATTAACACAAATAAATATATAATCGCCCAAAAACATTTAATGAGCAGAAATACTGCATCTGCGTGTTAGAAGAAGAAAATAAACACAAACGAATAAATAAACTCCCAATTTGCATAATAGAAAGTCCAAAAAGTAAATAAACACAAATAAACTAACAACACTTCAATCAAACTTTTATTATGAGAACTAAGAATGTAGTTATGGGTCTAATTGTTGGTACGAATCTAAACTATTTGCAAATTATTACGATGACTTTAGTGTATCTACAGAGTAAGACAAGGAAATAGATTTTCTTAAAATGTATATAGCCTAGGCCAAGCACAACATAATGGCAATTCAAAGTGGTAAATAAACCAAAATAAAGGAAGAAAAGTCTATTTTAAAATCATTTAGGAACATAATAAAATATTGAAAATAAAAGAAAACTACCAGAACTGCTTTTCAATGGAAAAGGACTTAGCCTACCTTTAATCCAACTTTACACCTTAAATCTTTATGAAACTGTATAGGCTACATTGTTTCCTTCAAGTAATTTTTTTTTACAATGCGGCCATAAAAGCCTATCACTCTGTAGTTTCTTTACTCACTGATGTGATATCATAAAGCAAAGTCCAAATGAAATCTTGGTTTGCATTCCAATCGTGTAGCATAAGTATGCAAAGTTATTTCCATTACCCAATTAATCTTATTCGCATGGGAGCAATAAAGATTAGCTTTCCACTGTATTAGATAAAACTAAAATGATCCTCTACTTCCTCACCGATGTTGACATACTCAAATAACAGTATTATTGTTATAGCCTGAATAAAATCCACCTTCAAATCTTGGGTTGGTTTATGTAGATGTAGATTCAGTGCACAGCATTTATTTTGCTTATGATTTTATGTAACAGTTACATGTATGCCAAAATATGCTGCTTATGTAATGAGAAACTTTTCAAAGTCATGATGACAGTTCCCTTACCTCAATTACAGACGGAAAAACACATTGTAAGTGTCGTCACAATTTTTTTGTGGAGCATTTGGATAACACTCAAGCCTTTCATGACTGAGATTCTTTTGTCCTCGCTGGGTTTAAGGGTGAAGTGACGGCCATGACTTTGTCAGTCTAGTTTTGGCATGGCTGATGTTTGGAGTACAATTTCTCACAGAGGGCATTGTTGGCCTAACTGCCCCACTGAGCTCCGATACGCACACAGGACATGTTTATTTACAGTCTCAGTGTGTATGTTTGTGTTTATCTCTCTCTTATGCAGACTGCATCTCAGCCCTGGAATACTTCAGTCATACGGAGCTCAGGGTGGGCCCACATCCAGGACCAGTCCTCATCGCTGTCCCTATGGAGGGCTATCCCAAGCCTGAGGCCATCGCCCCCTCCTTCATCTTCCCTACATCTCTCTCTTGCCCTATACCTCAGGAGGATGTTCTGTTTTTGACAGGACTATCTGTTGATCTGTGGCCTGGCAAAGGAAAAAAAATCTTATTTTCTATCATAAGTGCATATGTAACTGTGCTTAAACATATAGCATAATTTTCTGACCAAGACATGCAAAGGCAGAGAGTGAATAACAACACTTCTGCAGAGCTGCTTATGGCTGAACCGAACTCATTTTATAATTCAACATTGATAATAATAATAAGAAGAAATGTTTCATGAGCAGAAAATCAGCATAATGATTTCTGAAGGATCATGTGACACTGAAGACTGGAGTAATGCTGAAAATTCAGCTTTGCATCACAGGAATAAATTCCATTTAAAAATATATAAAAATAGAAAACAGTTATTTTAACTAACAATAATATTTCACAATATTACTATTTTTACTGTTTTGAGCAGATAAATGCAGCCTTTGTGAGCATAAGAGGCATTTTAAAATCTTAAAATCCCAGTTAAAAAAAAAAAAAAAAAACTTCACCAAGGTAGCATTTTTATAGCATTTTAATATATATTAAATGCTACCTTGGTGAAGTTTCTTTAAAAAAAAGGGATTTTAAGATTTTAAAAATGCTGGGTTGTTTTAACCCAACTTTGGGTCAAATATGGACAAACCCAGCCATTGGGTTACATTTTTTAATTACATTTTTAACCCAACATTTGGGTTTGTCCATATTTGACCCAAAGTTGGGTTAAAAGAACCCAGCATTTTTAGATATTAAAGATGCACATTTTTATTACTGTTTAAAATAACTGTTTTTAATTTTATTAGCCAACTATGAAAATTTGTGTAAAGTCATTCAAAAGCAATCATTCTGTTAATTTGCCACGAATAAACTTTTATTGTTATCTCAACACAGTTCTAAATGGTTGTGCTACTTGCATTTATAATTTTATTAAGAAAGCAAACTGCAGGACAAAGAGAGAAGTGGAAGCCCCAGATACTGAACAGGTCACAGCAAACACCAATTTCAAGATGCAAGAGTTTCAAATACAAAGTCCCATCTGCTATACTACAAAAACATAAGACAACTTCTGAATAATGTTGACATTGAGCTGGACGTATAAGGTCTGGGAGAAGTGCTACAGAAAGGATGCAAAGAAATTTAACATGATTATATTAATAACCTGACAGATTGAATGCCAAAGGTCTGCAAACATACAAGTTGAATATGACCTAATATAGCACTTATTTGAAAAGACATTTCTAAACACTGTACATGCCTTAATTGTAATTTTTAATCAGCTGAATGCAACCTTGGTGAATAAAAGTTCCAATTTTAATGCAATTCAATTTTTTCAAACTATTGAATGGTAGTGTACTGTACATGTTTATTTTATTAGGTACATTTAAAAAAAAATAGCAAATACTCTTTTTACTATGTTTATGTTCTCTTTCATAGGTTCACTCAACGCTGCGGAAAGCGCAGTGGGATATCCTCTGGATGTGCCGATTGCCTGAAGCCCTATAGAATCACGCCAATTCACTGGCTGATGGCGCTCGCGCAAAGCTGGCTCCGCCCCGCTGCTCTTACGTCGTAGCATGATGAACGCGCGCGCGCCATCTTCTCCTCAGATTTCTCTGCCTTCACGAAGCGGTCACATGTCGCCCTTCGTTCGGTTTTTCTGAGCCCGAATTCTTCAAATTCAACTTCAGCTTTCGTCTCGACACTTCAGCGACTGGTATAAGTGGAACTCTGTTCTCCTTACAGTGACGTGTCATGGATTATCGACGCTGCTCTCCACCATGCGTTCGTTTTATCTCGAACGACGACCCTCACAGTAAGTGTGTTAAATGTATGGGTTTTTCGCATGCGCGTGAGGCTGTATTAGGATTGTCGAAATGTAAATTTTGTGACAATCTCCTTCTCAAAACCCTCCGCTCTAGACTCGCGGTTTTTGAGAAGGAGTCATTCGTTCCCCCCCGTCGCGCTCCCGAGACTGCTGAGGCCTCTCGTGGATCCGCGGCCTGGGGCTCGGATGTTGAGCTCGAGGATATTGAGTATGAGCAGACGGGCCTCGCCCTTTCTCTCCCTCCCTCTCCCGAGCACGCACGCGGCGCGGTTGAATTCGCGCATGATTATTTATGCCCCAGCCCGGGAGCCCGCGAATCGGTTTCTTTCGGTCTGGATGACGTGATTTACACTGCAGCCTCCGACTCCGAGGATTTCAGGCCTGCTTTGGCTGATGACGTTATCCCGCCTAGCGGCCAGGACGCGCGGCCTACTCCGGCCTACACTGAGCTTATTGACGTGCTGTCGCGCGCTACAGAGAAGCTCTCTATTGACTGGCCTGATGAGCCCCGCGAGTCTCAATCGTCCAAACTCGACGAGAGGTTCCTACGTGGCCCTAATTCTAGGCCAGAGCGAAGAAAGCTGCCCTTTTTCAGCGATCTGCATCACGAGATCTCCAGATCCTGGAAGCAGCCTTTCTCCGCACGCCTAACTAATGCGGCAGCCGCTGACTTCACCAACCTTGTGGGTTTTGTGGAGCAGGGTTATTCCGCTATTCCAGCGGTCGAGGACACGCTGGCTAACCACCTCGCCCTGTCGTCTGCACCGTCCTGGAAGGCGCGTCCCCTTCTTCCTTCCAAGGCTTGTAGGACTACTTCCTCCCTTATTGGGAAGTCTTACATGGCGGCTGGTCAAGCAGGCATGGCCCTGCATACCATGGCCATCCTTCAAGCCTACCAAGCGGACGTCTTGAAGGACATGGATGAAGGAGAGGGACTGACGCCCGAAGCTGTCAAAGAGCTTCGCAAAGCCACAGATCTGGCCCTAAGAGCCACCAAACACACTGCTCGGGCTGTTGGTCGCTCTATGGCGGGCTCGGTTGCTGCAGAGCGCCACATCTGGTTGAATCTCACGGAGATCCGAGACAAGGATAAGAGTTTCCTCCTGGATGCCCCTATCTCCCTCTCAGGTCTTTTCGGGGAGGCGGTCAACACGGTGGTTGAGAAGTTCCGCGCCGCTAAGTCTCAGTCGGCCGCGTTCAGGCAGTTTATGCCCAGGAGGGTCAGAGGGCCAAGAGACTCCAACCCTTCCCCTTCTCAAACCCGAGAACGCTCGGCTCATAGGGCTGAATTCCCTACTAGCAGGAGTGACCCGGCTCACCACCCTCCAACTACGGTCTGGGGAGCCCGAGGTCGTCCATTTCCCCGCCAGCGCCCTCACAAGCGCCTTCAGCTGAAGCGGTCCAACAAATCGGCCGCTCCAGCCTCCTCGAGCCGTTCCTGACCCGCAGGTCAGAAGGAGGAGAGCCTCACCAGATCTACGAGGTTGGGACAGACCGCGCAAGCGTTTCTGCCCTCCTCCACCCGGCTCTCCTCATCCAACCTTGTCACCTTCGCCACCCAGCGTGTTTCGAAGTGCAGGTCCTGTTTCACTCTCTTCACCCAGTCCGGCGCAGGAGGAAGGAGACGCGTCTTGCTTTCTCCCCTCGCTCCCGGTGCACGTTACACCCGCCAATCGCTTCCTCGGAGGC